CTTCTTGATCTTGCAAAACTAAACTGTGTACCCACTAAACACCAGAAATTGATTTTTTTTGTCAGTTGTGGGGCTTGAACTCTGGTCCTGGATGCTGTCCCTAAGCTCTTTAGCTCAAGGCTAGGGTTCTACCACTTGAGCCACAGCATCACTTCCACTGGTAGTTCACGCCTGTAATCCTAGCTACTCAGGAGGCTGAGATCTGAGGATTGCATTCAAAGCCAGCCTGGGCAGGAAAGGCTGAATGAGATTCTTACCTCCAATTAACCACCAGAAAACTGGAAGTGGCACTGTGGCTGAAGTGGTAGAGCACTCACCTTGAGCTGAACAGCTGAGGGACAGCTCCCTAGGCACAGAGTTCAGGCCCCACGTCCAAAACAAAAAACAAAGATAAAACCTCTTGTATCCCTATCTTGGGGCTCATTTCACTTAGCATCATCTTATGTGGTCATATGTACATAGTTTTTAACCTTTTCTGCTTGTTCTAGATGTATACTAGTTATTGCAAATAAGGGAAACCATGGGACCTATGTTTCTTTGGGTCTGACTTACTTTATTTAATATAATTTTTTCCAAGCCTTTCCTTTCCTAACAAATGGGGCAATGCCATTCTTTCTGATGGAGGCATAGACTTCCATTGTATATATACACATATAGTTATATATGTGTGTGTGTGTGTGTGTGTGTGTGTGTGTGTGTAATATACCACATTTTCTTGATCCACTCATCTACTGAGGGACATCTAGGTTGGTTCCATATCTTAACTCTGGTGAATAATGCTGCAATAAACATAGTTGTGCTGGTAGCTTTAGTATGGCCTTGTTTGTGATCATTTGGGTAAATGCCCAAAAGTGGGATTGCTGGGTCATAGAAGCTCTATGTATAGTCTTTTGAGGAACCTCCATACTGCTTTCTAAAGTGGTTGAACAAGTTTACACTCCCACCAACAATGCAGTAGGGTTCCCTTTTGGCCACATCTCCTCCATCATCTGTTGTTATTAACTTTCTTGATTACAGCCATTCTAACTGGGGTAAGATAGAATGTCAGTGTTGTTTTGATTTGCATTTTTTTTTGTCAGTTGTGGGACCTGAACTCTGGGCCTGGGCTCTATCCCTCAGCTCTTCAGCTCAAGGCAAGTGCTCTGCCACTTCCAGTTTTTTCTGCTTATGTGGTGCTAAGGAATGAAACCCAGGGCCTCATGCATGGGAGGCAAGCACTCTACCACTGAGCCACCTTCCCAGCCCTGATTTGCATTTCTCTTATGGTCTATTGGCCATTCTTATTTCCTCTTCAGAGAAGTCTGTCTTTAAGTCTTTAGCCCACTTATTAATTGGACAGTTGTTTCTTTGAGGATTTGTTGTTGGGGAGTTAATTTTTTGAGTTCTAAGTATATTTTAGATATGAGGTCTTTGTCCATTGTATGGCTAGTGAAGATCTCCCAATCCGTGGGCTTGCTAGCTATGTCCTTTGCTTCAGTTTCATGCAATCCCATTTGTCCAATCTTTCTTTTATTTGTATTTTCTACTTCTATTGCAAAAAACTAATAACTTTGATAAGTATGATTTTTTTTTTTTAGAAACCAGACTTAACTTTATTTTGGCCAGGACTGGGCACTGTCCCTGAGCTTCTTTTGCATAAGGCTAGTGCTCTACCACTTGAGTCACAGTGTCACTATCAGCTTTTTCTGTGTATGTGATACTGATGAATCGAACCCAGGACTTCATGCATGCTAGGCAAGCACTTTACCACTAAGCCACATTCCCAGCCTACAAGATTTAATTTTTAAGATAAGGTCTTGAGTCTTTAAACAGATTCCTCCTCCATTTCTTTTGTAACTTATTCTTGTGTGAATGGTAGGTAATACATACTTAACCATAACATTTTCACCATGCTGAGAGTGTGTGTACACTGGACAATATGATTAACTTGAAGCACAGAGTAGAGCATGCTACCATCAAAAAGCATTAAATATCATCAGAAGGTCCATGTAAATGAGTTAGGCACTAAAACTCTGTTTCTTTTACTGTTTAGCCAAGTCAGATGAACTTTACATTTTTATAAAGCGTTAGATACAAATGAGAATTTTACCTTTCCTGGTTGAGCCAGAATTTGCACTAGGTCTTTCGAAGTCCTCTTCCATGAGGCAAAGGAGACTAACAGAATGAGTGAAGTCACCTTTATTTGACAGATCCAAGGTAGGACATGATAGGAGTTGCTTTGAATTATAATTTTGTTTAAAATGAAGAACTGTTGCTTCAGTGCCCACAGTAAGGCACTCATTGACAGATACAGGTGTGTACCTGATCCCCTCATACATTCTAGATCTTTCCCTCAATCATTAAGTTCTTTAATGGGGGGGAGGGCTTTGATAGTCTGGTTTCCATCCTGTAGTTCACAAGCTTGTTGTAGGCATGCTGTTTTTCAAATCCCCCCCAAACAGTAGTACAAAGGCATTCATAAATTCATAAAGATTATTGATATTTACAAATATCCTATTTCTTTTCTTTTTGTCAGAATTCAAGGCCAAGGTGCTGTCCCTGAACTTTTCTTCTCAAGACTAGCACTCTGTCACTTTGAACAACAGCTCTACTTCTGGTGGTTTTCTGGTGGTTAATTGGAGCTAAGAGTCTCATGAACTTCAAACCTGCCTGGTCTGGCTTCGAACCACAATCCACAGATTTTAGCCAACTGAGTAGCTAGGATTACATGTATGAGTTACTGGTGCTAGGCTCTATCATCCATCTTCCTTCCTCCTTTCCTTCCCTTCTTTCCCTTCCCTCCCTCCCTCCTTCCCTCCCTCCCTTCCTTTCCTTCCTTCCTTCCTTGCTTTTCTTCCTCCCTCCCTCCTTCCTCCCTCTCTCCCTGCCTGCCTGCTTTCTTTCCTTCCTTCCTTCCTTCTTCCCTCCCTCCCTCTCTCCTTCCCTGCCTGCTTTCCTTCCTTCCTTCCTCCCTCCCTCCCCCCCTTCTTCCCTTACCCCCCTCTCTTCTTTTCCTTTCTTTTGCCAGTCCTTGGGCTTGAACTCTAGGCCTGGGTGCTTTTGTGTTCAAGACTACAATCTACCACTTGAGCCACAGCTCACTTCCAGTTTTTTGTGGAGATAAGAATCTCATAGACTTTCCAGCCTGACCTGACTTCTAACCATGATCCTCAGATCTCAGCCTCCTGAGTAGCTAGGATTACAACATGAGCCACCAGTCTGTAACACTATCATAATTTCTTAAAAACAACATGACCAGCACAGGACAAATAACAAACCATTATTCATTATTAAAGATACAGTCTAACTGGCTCTGGAAAAGGCATCTATTGGATTTTTTTCATTTAGTAAAATTAGTTATTATTATAAATACAAAATCCTGTAACTGTACCCTATTTAGTAAGACAAAGTATTGTTATATAGCTCCATATTCATCAGAGAATTCAAAATTTTTTATTTGGTTAATAACATCCATGATAATATTAATGTACTATTAAATGAGATGCCTAAACTAATTCAGTCCTTGCATTGACTGAAAGTATAGTGAATGACTGAAAGTATAATGGGAACTGTAGTCTCTGTATAGACAAAAATCAATCCTTGGTGGTCACCAATCTATTAGTGTAACAAAAAGATGCCTTACAGTATAATTAGCTTTAGACATAAAATGTGTGATGATAAAACAATGTAGGAAAAAATGTCAGGAATCTGGAAGCCAGGTCTACCTTCCAACTTTCTTGCTATGCATTCATTCATTCATTTATCCAACATTTATTTATGGAACATTTCCTGAGTTCCCACTGTGTGGAAGAAACCTTACTTGTGCTGGGGAGTCTGTTGGACCATAGAGAAACCAGTTTCCTGCTCTTTATCTGCACCAATCGGAGCAGGTCCTTTCTTTAACTGCATCTATCCCTGGATTAGACTGGATATCTGAGATCTTTATCAAACCTCAAATGCTGATTGAGGTTTGTAACCACTTGGTGGAGGGAGAAACTGCCTAAGGCTTTGAGGACTTACCTTCATGTAAGAGGGTTAGCACTTGCCTTAGTTTCAAAAAAACTTTGTACATTAAAAATAATTTTTAAAATAGTAGCTTGAAAATAGTTTTAAAATTATCTGGTCAGACATTTAGATCATCTTGTAAAGTCTAGGTATGGCAAGCCAATTCATATAGAAGGTTAGCTTATGGAGGTATGAAGTCAAAGTTGGGAAAAGGTGAATGACCTGTGCCAAGACAGAGGTTCCCACGGGGAGTCAGTGACTCATGCCTGTAATCCTAGGCTAAAATCAGAGGATCAAGTTTGAAGCTACCATAGGCAGGGAAGTCTATGAGACTCTTAATTCCAATTAACCACACACACACCAAAAAAAAGGCAGAAGTAGAGCTGTAGCTCAAGTGGTATAGTACCAAACCTGAGAGCAAAAGCTAAGGGACAGCACCCAGGCCCTGAGCCAGGAAAAAAAAAAAAAAGGCTCCAGCCAGCAGCCTCCTTTACCTCCTGGCTTCTCCTGCAATTGGACATTGCTTGAGTGACCTGATGAGCTTCTGTCATAATGATCCTGAAAAGGATTGCTGTCTGTCTTGGGATCAGAAGTGATCTACCTTATGGGGCAGAAAAATAAGTTCTTGCTTTTATAGATTTTTCCAGCATAACAAATGTATTGTTATTTGGCTTCATAATTGTAATACTTAAGTAACCTTTTTTTTTTTTTTTTTTTTTTTGCTTGCAGTCAAGATGACTTTTCCTAGGGAGAGAAACTGGATTTCTATTGCGGAGAGAGAAAAGACATAAGACATGAAAGGAAGAAAGGAGGGGGGGATGAAAGGAGGGAGAAGAAAAGGAGAGAGGGAGCTTTGGAAATACATTTGTTCAAGAACAGGAAAAGCTGCAACACGAGGCAGGCAAGCCTTTGAGTAACTAGGGAAATGAGCTGTTAGACTCTTCGGCCAATCTGTCCTTTCTGTCAATGAAAAACACATAGGGTTCGAGGTTCCTTCCGAAACGGGGCTGGCTAATTTAGCCCCTCCCACAAGCCCAAGGGTCTGTTATATCTCTGATCCTTGAGTACCTCTCTCACTAAGACCGACCACAGCAATCCAGGCTGGAAAAACAAAAAACAGAAAACAAAACTAAGAAAGAGGAAGGAAACAAAAGCTGCTACTTATGGAAGATATAGAAGGTAAGACCAAACTGATTTTGATCCGAAGTGTTAAGAAAAAAGGAGAGGGGGGAAAAAAAAGCCTAGATCAAAAGCAAGTACTTGAAAGAACTAGAGGCAAAAAGCCCTGAATGAACTTTCCCACCCTCTTCCTTCTGAGAGGAGGCAGAGAAAGAACTTGGGAAAAGTTTTAGGAAGCAAAGCTCAGGGTTTTAATCAAGAGTGAATCTTGAGCCAGCTGGATGAACTCATGAATATTAATTGTATGCAAATTGCGCTTTTTTAGAGGCGAATGGATTTTGTTGTTGTTCCCTGGCTGCTTTAACTGGCAGCTGCTTCATCTACAGTCTGGAGTCATCTAGCCTGTGTTAGATCCTCAGCAATGTATTTTCTTGAAGATGCTGGGTTCTGTGTAGATTTGTTTTTGAATTTCCTGTGTACTTTGCTGTGGTGAAATTACCAAAGGCTTCCCTGCTGGGAGTTGGATGGATAAGTTAATGTGGCAAAAGGCTGTCACAACAGGACCCTGGAGCAAGTCTTACAAAAGGCTGAGAGTTTCCTGTGATGTGTGGGAGAGTGTGCTTGTCAGTGAAGGGTAAGGAGGAGTGAAGGGAAGAATAAGAGAGTTCTGTCTCAAAAGAGCAGGTCATATCTGAATGACTACATTTATATTTTGTTTCAAACCACAAGAACAGCGTGTTTGCACAAATGGTGTGCATGCTCTGTCTTTTTACCTCTTTTGGGCATTTTCTGCCAGGACAGAGAGCCAGCTGCTTGCCAGACTTTAGAAGCCTGGAAGAAATCTCTGCAGGAGTGAAGGAAAGTAGAGTCTCAAACCTTCATCCCTGACTTTAAATATACCAGCACATTTTTATCACAAAGACTGTGGAGGAATAAGATGAAGAGCCAACAGATTGCTTACAGTTAAAGTAATGATAGCTGTTAAGGTTGACTAAATCTTTAATTCTGTGCTGGGAGCTGTTCTAAGCTTATTCTATGCTGTTTAGTCCTCACTTCAGCCATTGGAGGTAAGTACTGTCATTATTATCCCCATTTTCCAGATGAGGAAGTTGAGGAACTAGGAAAATAACTCATCCTGGGAATGACACAGTTAGGAAGTGGTGAATGTTGATGTGAGCAGGATCTATATAAGGGCTTTTCTGCTCCCCACCCCTTGCACTGTGCTGTTGCTCTGCTCACAAGGCTCTCCCAGATGCCTTAACATTTGTGAATTTCTGAAGCTACCTGGAGAAATGATGCTGATAAAATCTCAGGTATGTGAAGGAACTTGAACTTTGCAATCAGGTTCATATGCATTTTTCTCATTTGGTGCTCAAGGGCATTCTTTATGAAAGAGAAGTGGATATTGTTCTTACGGCCTTTTACAAAAGAGGTGAACCGTCAGGAAGAGTTAGGTGATATGAATCATACAGCTAGCTGTTGAAGAGTCCAGATCAGACCAGAAATTCCCTGCTTCTCATTTCTCTTCTACCTACAGAGTGAGCCCACTCATCTGTGAACTTCTGCCCCAACATCCTCCCCCCCCCTCCCAGCTAAGTCATCACTACTGGGCTACTTTCAGTTCCCCAAGGGAACTGCTCTTTCCCTTCCTCTTAGACTGTTGCAAGGCACTTTCTTGCACCTTAAGGCAATTTACCCCCTTTACTACTTCGTTCTGAAGCTAACTTGCTTCATTTGAAATCGTGGCTCTATCATTTACTGTGTGCCTCAGTTTCTTACCTGTAAAATGAAAAGAATATCTGTTTCATATTGTTGTTGTCAGGACAATACGGGAAGATCCATACAAGGGTCTTAGAAAAGGGTCTGATAAGTGATAGGTGCTCATTGAGTGTTTGCTGTTGCTATTGCTCCTTCAAGCCTAACCATGAGGATTACAATCCCTTTAAGCCTTCTCCAGTACTTTGAGCCCAAGTTAGATCCCATCTTGGATGTTTCTACAGTATCTCACTCTTTATGCTGAAGGTGACAATCATATGTATCATTCCTGCCCCTTAAACCGCCTTCCACACTTCCTTAGTTACAATTTCTTTGTTTTTGCCTTGTTCAAAGTGAGTCTTCAAACTCATAACCACATGATTTTCAGCATGGACAGGATGGTAGGAGAGAGACCTCCATCATCATAGAAGCACAGAAGTTGGGGGCCCAATGTGGGTGCTTGTGCAGCAGTCCTAGAGGACTTGCTGCCAGAAGCCACTCAGAAGCTGACTGACTGAATACTGATTCAGGAAGATCCAGGAGAGATGCAGTGCCCAGTGTTTGGAGTAAACCCAGAGTCGTCTTCATCAGATCCACTACAGGTTTCTGACATCCTTATTGTGAGTCACTTGGTGGTCACACTTGCCAGCTCCCACGACAGGTTCTTGAAGTAGTGTCCATCTTAAAGAAGATGCTATCTTTCCCCATGGGGTGGTATACCCTGATCTCTGTGCAAGTCAGGAAGATCCTGACCAGTCATGAGCACTTTGAGCTCCTTAATGAGCACTTAATAAGGATCTAGTAAACTAAGTATTTTTATCTTAGCTAATTTTCACTTAAAAGTCAGGAGGCGCAGCTTCTAGCTTGCTGGTGCCTGCAACTCTGCACAATCTGTAAAGACATTCTTGTAGGTAGATACATAAAATCAAAATGTGTCTCCTCTCACCGTGGATGACGTTTACTGCTAACATGATTCTGCCAGAGAACCAAGTTTAGCTGAGTTTTAGATCCATCCCCTATTCAGCAAAGAGCCAAACTGGAGATTTTAAACGTGTCCTGGTATTTCTCTGCTGTTTCTGAGCTTCCCAGACCCACTTCATAGCAACCTTGGTGCCTGAGACAGGGTGCTCTCACAGTGAAAGAAAAACAAACACTACAGAGGTTGGCCCTGGTTAAAATGATAAAGTACATTCAATTTGTTCCAGCACACCCTCCCTTTCCTCTTCCTGGCATACCTTCAAATCAATTCAACAAGTATTATTGTGTGTCCACCATTTGTAAGTCCCTATGCCAGTTGCTTGGGATATAAACAGCTTGTCTTGATCTAGTATGGGAGGGAGACATAAACATAACCATCTCTAACTGAAACCAGGCTCAGTGAAGTACTAATAATAGCTAACATTGATTATTTATTATGTGTCAGACACTGTAATTTTTGTTGGTGGTGGTGGTGGTGGTAGTGGGGCTTGAATTCTGGGCTTGGGTGCTGTCCCTCAGCTTGTCAGCTCAAGGCAAGCACTCTACCACTTGAGCCACAGCGCCACTTCTGTTTTTCTGGTGATTAATTGGAGATAAGAGTCTCACCGACTTTCCTGCCCAGGCTGGCTTTGAACCATGATCCTCAGGTCTCAGCCTCCTGAGTAGCTAGGATTACAGACATGAGCCACCAGCACCCAGCTTATGTTGTCCCATGTAATCTTCACAACTCTGTGATATTGGTTCCTGTATCTTACAGTTGTAGGTGGAAGTTAACTTTGCCAAGGTCACACAGCTAGCTAGTAATAGGTAGAGAGTGAATTTTGACTCATGTGGTTAGGATACAAAGCCTGGTCTCTTAAAATGTGAGTTTTTACTTCTAAGAGCCATATAGTAGTCTAAAGAGGGAGCCATGAGAAGCTTGGCACTGGTGACTCATGTCTGTAATCCTAGCTACACAGGAAGCTGAAATCTGAGGATCACAGTTCAAAGCCAGCCCAGGCAGGAAAGTGGCACTGTGGCTCAAGTGGTAGAGTGCTAGCCTTGAGATGAAGAGCTAAGAGACAGTGCCTATGCTCAGAGTTCAAGCTCACAACCAACAAAAAAAGAAAAAGAAAGAAGAAAGAAAAAGCAAGCAAGCAAGCAAGCAATGAGAAACAGAATTGGGAGTGATGGCTTGGTGGGGGGGATGAAGCATTTCTTGGACTTGGAGCCTACTACTCATTAGAAGTCCTTCCCCCTCCCAACAATGCTTAAGGATTTTTCTCTTTTCCTTACCCAAACAATAGCCTAGAATGGAGAGTTAAAAGCTCTTTCTCCTTTCCAAGTTCTGAACGAGCAGAATATTTATGTGTCTATGCTGGAGATTTAAAGGCAGAAGTCCAGAGTCTAGCTCTGGCCATAAGTTTGGGATTACCAATGATATAATCAAATAAACCTTTACAAATGAATCAGCTGCACATTAAATGATTTCCTTAATCATAATTTTCCTGTCTGGTGATAAGATACATCTGGCAAGCCATTTTTACAAATTATTGTTATTGGTATTGCTTTTACTTGGCCAAACCACATTTGCAGTGTTTCTCTCTCTCTCCTCTCTCTCTCTCTCTCTCTCTCTCTCTCTCTCTCCCCCTCTCTTTTCCCCTCCCCTCTTGGTGGTTTCTCCAATCTCTACAATCATTGTGTCCAAAGGAAGCAGTGTAGCAGTGTTTAATTCCACTGGCAGTTGTTTAGATGTGCTGGGCTCAGCTTGTGGAGAAGGAAGGTGAGGCCTGGGGAGAATAACATAGAGTTTATTCTTTGAAACATTTTGGAGAGATGCCAAAATGGAGGGTAGTGCCTATGGTGAATAATATCTGACCATTTTTATGGCTTTGATGGAAGTACAAAAGAAAGGAGTTACAAGCTTAGTCTTGGTGATTGTGTATGTGTGTGTTTCCTGAATCTGTGTTCCTCAAATACACATTTTCATCATTGGAAATAATTTTAATATGCAGATTCTCATCTGGAAGTTCTGAGATAGGGCTGGAGTTAGGCATGTCTAACACTATAACTCCCCAGTGATGATAATGTTTACCCTCCATAGACTACACTTCAACTAGCAATACTGTAGAGTCATTGCATGCTATAGTCTAAGGGTTTATTTTGGTTCTAACTGACCATGTCCCCTTCCTGTCCCAGCTACCACTTTGAATCACCAGTCAGCTATTTGTCAATGCAGGACGATGGGAAACCTATTTCATTTGTTCATTCATCAAATGTATGTCCTAGAACAGGACAGTAAGGCCCCTAGTTGGCTATATCCTAGGAACCAGCCTGAATTTTCAGCA